AAGGCCTTCACACATAAAATTCCGTAAGGACGTAAAACGTAAGCATAAGAAAATCGACCAATCACAGTCGAGAACGTAAGGCAATGACGCAAGCAGTAGCAAATCCAACCTGTTGATTTTCTTACGCTTACGTTTTACGTCCTTACGGAATTTTATGTGTGAAGGCCTTAAGGGGATCACTCGTCTGACTTCGACTCTTTCCGGTGAGATTCGGTAATATTCGGTTCACATTTCCAATACGTGTGCACACGTATATACGGCGCGTTGCTTGTGTGCGAGCGAGCGCGCGCGCGTGGCCGAACGAATCATCCCCTCCAACTTGGAGTGGGGATGATCCTGGATGGGGATTGGAAATGTGAACCGAATATTACCGAATCTCACCGGAAAGAGTCGATGTCAGATGAGTGCCTCCGCGCCCCGAATATCAGAACCCCTCTTGCCCAGAGTCGTAGCTAACATTCCGTCTATAGAAGTCTATGATACGCGCATCCAGTGTGGTTAGATTTGCCCCCTTTTCGGGCATGCGCAGCGCAGATTTAGTGAAATCCAGTAACGTCCACATGCTCAGAAAGTGGGAGCTTATTGTTTTGGCGGGACGGCCGGCGGAAACCTCGCAGCGAAGAGGATTATAACCAATATGAGGGTAAGATAAGTTGGTATAAGTATTTTAGTTAATATTATTACAATTTAGGTGTGCATTATGGATCCAGAAATTATAATTTTTATAGACATATAAAAATAGGGCCTTCACAGGACCTTTATATATCAGAGGTTACTACTTCACTGATGCCATATTGCACTGCGCATGCCCGAAAAGGGGGCAGATCTAACAACACTGCGCGCATCCGGCGCATCGTGCATACACGTGATACACGCATCGTAGTCACATCGTAGTTACGTCGGAGTTCAAAATTACATGATCATCAAGGCGCGAGCAGTAAGGAGGGAACGGTGAGGTATCGACGCGAAGCTCGATCGGTCAATACAAAATTTCAAACATCCTGACGATGAAGCAACAGGGTCAGAAGCGAGAGGATTTGTTGTGAGTAGATTAGGAACACGATAGCTCACGCGGGGAGAGTGTGTTTCGACAACTCAAGGTGAAACCGTGAAGGAGCAACATGATGAGCGAGGCTAGTGATCCGAGCGACACCGAGATGTCCGATAAACAAGACGACAAGGATGCGGACTTTAACGTAGACGATTATTGCCACGAGATGGACAGCGACGACTCCTTCGCCGAATCGTTGGAAAATAATGTTAACGTACGTCCAGATGCTTCAATTAGAGGGCAGTTTATTGTGAGACAGCAGGGTTTCTGTTAAATTAACAGGCATAATTTGGTTTCCCTCCCCATGAATTTTCGTTGTCCTTGGCGTGAAATCTGTGTAGTTGAAAATTGATTTGCCAAACATGCGTGTCATCGTTGCGAAAAAGATTTGTGAAATTGGATGGTGAAAACCCGCTATCTCATAATTATTTTAATTTGTCTGTCTTAAATGTCTTTTTCATGAAAAATTACGTTTTGACTCGTCACTCGTCACTCTATATTACAGTTGTATGTGTTTACAATCTACTTGTCTTGTAGGTAAACGTGAACAACCCACAAGACAAATCTGCGGGCCCGGTAATTTCTGGACACAGATTTGACAAGAAACTTGTATGTGTTAAGTATCCAGGAAATGTAGTTAACGTCGACAAGGCTATTGAGACGCTGGGTGGCATCAGTTCCATTTCTATGGTACGATAGAACAAAGAAGAACATCCAATTAGTTATATTGCCTAATTGTTTAATGCCTGATTGTTTAACAGACTGTAGACGTTCCTAACAGAAGATTAGAACTACGCTTCAGACCCGACGACGGTTACAGCAAGCCCACCTGTGGGGATAGACATAGTACAAATGGTTTCTTGCTTAGAGTTAGAATAAAAAAGAATAAGGTGACACAAGTAAAAAGTACTACCGTCGAGCTTGTGAAACCAACCTCTGTAGATATTACAAACTCGGAAGCCAGTACTTCTTGCATTGGTAAAGATCTTCATGCGTCCCATTCAGAAGATGAACAGATTAGTGTCGCGAGAGAAAACATCGATCGTGAAGGCAATAGTGTCGTTGATTTGGTCAGTCAGGAAGAAGAGCGCAGTGTTGACCCTGCGCATTGCAGCAGCGAAGCAGCGTCGGCCGAGAAGGTGTGCGCTGCAGGTGTCGAAAACTTGTGTGACACATGCGTAGACAAGTGTCCGTCAAAGAGGAATAAAGATACGTTTACTTTTGACAACAATAAGTACGAGAATTTATCTAAAGAAACGAATTATGAATTGCCACGTTTGAAAATATTGGGAAGAATAGAGACCGAGTTCAAGTTCACCAGTAAGTTGTGCACAAGTTGTACCAAACGTTACCTGCATATTAATTTTTCTCACCTTATATCGAATCTTTCCCACTTTCAGACTTGTGTGACTTTCAGTACATACCAATGACACAAAACAGATCGGATCCGAAAAAATTGGAGTGCATATACAGCCTGATTTATCCAACGGGCATCCCGCTTTACTCCTGGCTGAGGAATGACGTGCCCTACTTTCTCCCACCGGCTGTCTTCAGCAGGATGGACACTATACAGCAATACATACCGAAAACCGAGCTAGATTCAAACTCGGAGAATGTAATTGGTAAAAGCAAGAAGAGTCAAGCGGGCTTTCCCAATTACATATACTTTTCTACGTCCGAAGTGCCATCCGCGGCGCCGAAAGGCATCGAGACCGCCATGAGGGTGAAGTTTCTTCAGAACACGCACTTGGAGCAGGTGCGCCAGCTCTTCGAGGAGCGTCCGATCTGGTCGAAAAACGCCATAATGTACAAGACGCAATTTACATCCGAGCAACTGAAGATATTATTGCCATCGGTGGCATATTATTTTATGACTGGACCGTGGAGAATTATGTGGGTGAAATTGGGCTACGATCCAAGAAAGGATATTAATGCGAGAAAATATCAGACATTGGATTATAGACTGAAAGCTATGCGTAAGTCAGATCAGTTTTGATTCGTTTTGATTGTCAAAGATATCTCTTTATTTAAAACATAAAGAAATATTCTGTGATCTGCAGATGGATTAGGTTCAACCGTCAAGTGTAAAAGAAATTATGCAAATTATACGCTACCATATAAATCAGCGCCCGTTTCCAAACAGAAACCTGCGGTACTTACAGCCACGGTGAGTCAGGAACAAACTTCGAAGAAAGAGCGGCATTTGTACGAGAATGTGTACATATACAGAGAGGGTATGGTACCTCCGTCCCGACAAATGTTTTATCAGGTTTGTCAATAGTTTTCTTCATAAAATTAGTACGTGAAAGTACTGATGGCAAAATAATATCACGATAAAGCAATATAAAGCACAAAGATTCAAATAAATTATATGATCGAATAGTTGGGGGTATAAATATTCTACCCCCTAACAGATAAAGAACTGTTCGAATATATCTTCATACTCAGATCTGGAGCAATTCTGGAAATAAAATATGGCCCTGAAATTCATATAATTTGATCTGTTCAGTTAGATTACGTTATTATAACCTGTTATCTCTTGTTATTCTGTTATTAGTATTGCGATGTCTTGGTAGGAGAAATACAGGAAATGCTGGCAAAGCTTCCTGACCCTTTACCTGGAATAAGATGTCACGAGAAGAGAGGATGGTTACCAACTGGATTTGATGTACAATGCAGAGAAATTTTAAATAAACAAGTACGGGCTGTCTTGAGAAAGAGAATGAACATTCCTGAAGATCGTACGTGTCGCTTGCAGTTTGCTAAAAATAAAATTATTTATTTATTGAGGATAAACTTATATTTTTTTACTACAGATCCAACGTCGCTGCCACGAAAACGAAAACGTGGCATTAAATTAAAATACAATAAAATGGTTAACAAAAGTACAAAAAAAGATACAACGAATTCTACAGAAATTTAGGTAAATGTTACTTCTACTTCGAAGTTAACAACTGAACACGATTCATAATGAAGGTTGCAGAGCTTGAATCCAAGTGATCAAAATTATAATTATGTAAAAAAAAGAAATTCTGATCACATATTTGTTTCCTCTTTGAAAATATTAAAATGTAATATTCTAATACTTAACATTTGTTCACAAAGCATTGGATATAAGAATATGTTACAGATATCTTCATATACACAGGGTGTCCTGTAAAGACCATAACAATGTTTAAGGATAAATTTTTTTAGATCATTCTAAGATAAAAATCTTAAAATACTCAGGCTATAATAAGTTTTTAATTAAAAACTTTTAGACTATGGCCCGTTTCACCGCAGCCATAAATGGTTGTCATCACCGCAGCGCTGCAAGCTGTAAAGCTAAACGGTAAAAAATTTGAAGGGCAGGACTTTTGAATGGGTTCTCGCCAAGCTAAAATTTTGGCTTAAAATGATCTCAATAATTTGCCTTTGACGTTACGATCTTTACGGGACACACTGTATATAACGTATATTAAAATAAATATAAAATACAATTATCTTCAACTAATAGTCATAGAATTTCTTCATATTACACGTAGACTTATATACATTGTCTACCCGACTGTACACAGCGAATCATAATGAATATCTACATATTCAATCTGAGAATTAAGATATGAAGGCATACAATGGCGTTTGTGAACTTCATCTCCGTCTTTTCTCATGCCAAAAAATAATTTACAGAGTAATACTCTACTTTAGGTACATTATCGCTTTAATATAATATAATTCTTTAAACTTCAGAAAAAAATGGCAAAAGCACGGATGAATTTGTCGCTTGGTCTAAAGATGCGCTAATACTTCGACAGCGGCTACCGGTGGCGTTTGATCGCCACTAAGGATAACCGGTTCGGATTCAGTTTGGACAATCCTAACGAGATTTGCATCCTTCTTCGAGGACACTAAAGTGATATTAGGCGCGACATTAGACTCGGCGCAATAACTTGGCGGTCGACTCTCCCTTGCTGTACCAGGGGCTACGATACTTCCCGTATTTGATCGGTAGGTCGGTGGCGGGGACGACGCAGGCTGCAATCGGTCCAATAACAACAACCGAAGTCTATACTCTTGCATACTAGCCTGTAATAAAGAATTTGTGTGTGAAATATTCCAAAAGTACTTGTTTTTAAATAGATTTTTACAATAATTAAAATTTATTTTAATTATTCGCAAAACTGTGGATACAATTGTTTTCGTCAACATTTAAATTGTTTATAATCTACATCTTTAAGTAAATTAAATTAATTTAATTTACTTAAAGATGTAGATTATAAACAATTTAAATGACGAAAACAATTGTATCCACAGTTTTGCGAAGAAAAAAAAATATAATTTTAATTATATTAATTTGTAGTGTATTTATTAAGTAATTAAGCAAATAAAAATTATAACGTTAACTAACGTTAACTGAAAAATATAGTTTTGTTAGTTATTTAGTTTCTCAAATGGAGTTTACGAAAGCCTTTCTATTTCTCCATCTCTATTATTTGTAATTCGAAAATTACTGATGCTTCAACATTCTGACTGAGGAAATCTTGACTCCAACCTAGATAACAAATCTACTCCTAAATCACTTATGGAAGCGATTGTGTTATTTAGTAGCCAGATAAAACGATTATTTAATAAAACGTTGCTTTATATGTATGTACCTGATAGCTCGGCGGCGGTGTTCTAAATTGAAATTCCGGATAGATCATAGCGGCGTACGGATGTATCGGTCTCGCCGGGGGTATTCTACCGGAAATGCTTGTGAAGCCGAATAAGTTGCCACAATAATCTTGATTAGTTAATCGCCACGCCACTGCACTCACCAATACCAGAAGCACTCCTATACCTGTAAAAAAACCATTATAATTATAATACAAATAAAACTATCTCAATCTTTATCTATCGGCCTACAATGGTCTAAATAATCGAGACAGATTGCTTTTTACGTAAAAATAGAAGAGAAAAGAAAAGAAGACAAATAGATTCAAATGGTTATTATTCTTTTAGTCAAAAGGCAGCGGCGTCCGTCCGTTTGTCTATTCCTCCATTTGTTCCTCGAGCCATTATTCCCTCGATCTCACGGTTTTCGCGTGTGTAAGTGTACAACATCAATCTCTGTAAGCGGCGTTCCCTCAGTGTGAGAAGCATTCTAAGCGGGTCGCAGCTTACATGCCCACGTTTAGAAAGTAACTGTTGCGAGCTCGAGTTTCCCTATTCTCTCCTCTCTCTTCCTCGATCTTGTTGCGCGCCACGTGCAGTTGATCGCTATGACAATCTACATGTTACATCTATTTATTCTTCAACAGCCTCCGATTACAGGTTTCAAGAAAGTACATCATCATAATTTCGTAATGAAAAAAAGTTCGTGCCTTCTGCGAATACTAGTAAATGAAGTATTTATACCTCACATCCGTAATTCTTTCTCTACAAATAAATTACTTCAAGTACCAAAACAATAAGAAATCGCCAAATCAGCCGAATGAGGGGACAAGCATACGTTTCAGAACAAAAATCGAAATCATTGTTAAAAGATTTCCCAAAAATACTGGAATTTTAAACGAACCCAGAATAAATTGATCCTATCAAGATGGGGAGTTTCACAAACCATTTCAAACTACTGGTTTCATCGAGTCACTTGCTGCATATGGAAAAATGGGAAAAAACGTATATTAAAAAAAATTCTTCATTCGATCGTACGGAGTATCGCAACCTCTCTTTCACAACAAAGTTATTTTCAACGCTCGATTGCCGGGCTTTCTTATTAACCCATAATGAACAAGAAAACATGTGTTTATACTCACCGGACATAAATATTCCCAAGAGGTGATCGCGACCGGAGGCTTTTAGAGCGCCAAGGAGGGTGCCTGCACCGGCGCAGACTAGACCTACGAAGCCGACACCCAATATGGACCAGCGTACTGGCGGGGAACCCAAACCGCAACACTGTTTTGGTACTGTGTCTCTGTAACGCAAAAAAAAATGAGCGATACATGTTCGTTGAATGAACCGTGGCGTATACCGACAATTATGTGATCGCGATTGCTACATTATTACAGCGTAGCCGCCAACCGTGAAGCTATATAGTTAAGTGGCTCTTAAATGATATGCACATTGATCACGAAGATTTAAGCAAGAAATTCGAACAAATTGTATGATCACACTACTCGAACGATATGGAACTTTCGTTTAACTCGATACTTTTGCCAATTGACTTTATGCCAATAACGGTCCAATTTTCTGAACCCTTCATCACGTTCTGAAATCTGATACCCAATACAAATAAAAATAAAGTTAATTAAACATTGGGCGATAATAATTAAAATATGGACAATTGAATCTCATGTAAAATAAAAAAACCGCTTACGACAAAATTTGCCAAAGTTTTAGTTCGTTTGCAATTTCTTTGCAGAATAGGCGAAAATCTGTGGACAAAGTGTGAATAAACTGGGGATTCCAGAATTTAAAGAAACGCACTGAAGGATGTTCGTGGCGAAAGCACAGGTTTTTCCTTTCAAAGGGCCATTTACGGACGAATTGCGGATAGTAAAATGCTGTGCCAAAAAAAAATCGCGTTTTCGCCCGAGGGAAAGAAATGTTACCCGAGGCTCACCTGCCGAAGGCAGAGACGCTAGCAGGTACAGGGAAAGGTAGGCCGAGGTTGAGGCCCCTGAGGCTCAAGTGCGGGGGTGGAGGGTGAAGGAATCCTCTGGCGGGTGGTACCAGCGGCACTCCTAGTGCGGTTGATGCCGTCTGGCAGCCCGACGTGGCGGCGGGATACGTCGGTATGGAGCAAGACCTCAGAGCGCGGCGATGCTGTCTGCGTATTCGTCGCTCCCGTCTACGCGCGTCTCGAATACCGCTGGGAACCTCCTCGGTCTGGCCGGCCGCCGGAGGAGGAGGAGGCGGGGGCGGAGGAGGAGCACCGCTCTGAAGACCCAGCTCGGTCTGCGCCTCCGTCGAGGTAAAAGACCGAGCGACGTCCCGTGCCGCCTGAAATGTAAAACGAGCTATGAATTTGAGCGACTCGACTCTAGCTGCGACGTGACATTGTTACGAATAGTCGACTTTTATTGTCAGATTGCAAAACACGACTAATCGCGCGGAATATAAAATACACTTCGTGTGGAAATTGCACAAATATATTATACGTATTATATACAGGGTGGTCCATTTTAATCGACAATCGGAAATATTTCGTCAGGTAAACCAGATGGAGAAAAATGTTTCAGACAAAAGTTGTATGGTTTCGAGGGGGCCATAAGACGGTAGCATTGGTTTGACCTTGAAGAATTATTTGAAGGTCACATAAAGGTCACACCAATTTTTTTAAATGGCATCCCCTATTTTTTATTACATATTTTTTATTACATATACATATAAAATGAATATTTTACAAGATATTTTGTAATTTACGTCAAAATATTGGAACTTTCAAACCTTAATAACAAGAAGTTCTTAATAAAAAAATACTTTATTATAGTGTTTTGGAAAGCTCTCGAGGTTAGTTACAAGAATATGTAATAAAAAATAGGGGATGCCATTTAAAAAAATTGGTGTGACCTTTATGTGACCTTCAAATAATTCTTCAAGGTCAAACCAATGGTACCGTCTTATGGCCCCCTCGAAACCATACAACTTTTGTCTGAAACATTTTTCTCCATCTGGCTTACCTGACGAAATATTTCCAATTGTCGATTAAAATGGACCACCCTGTATATACGGCGAATGATTAAGATCCTTCTCTCCTTATACCCTTCTATCCTTCTCTCAAGTATCTAATGACGAGACATTTACATAGAAAATTTTAATATTTCTTAATTTTTTTACCTTTAAATTTTAATCCGCGAAGAACGCATTTTTATTTAAAAAACGCGATTAATTATAATTCTGAAATAAAATGTTTCTCAGTCTCACTGTACCTTTTTCTGTGAACTATAAAATCAACTAGGAAAATTAAATGCAATAATAAAACTTTTATATCGTCGAACTTTTATCACTGAAAGAAATTAAAATAATATAATTTGAATTTAAATAATTTAATGATTAAGTAAAATAATAAAAATAAAAAATAATAATATTAAAATATTATTATTATTGTTATTATTTTTATTTTAATAATTATATTTTAATAAAATTATTAAAATAAAAAGCGATAAACTTCAGTTTTATTAAATTGTTATATTTAATCATCGCAGTTTAGTCACCGCTCGGAGAAAAATGTATTACGAAACCTTGGCTGCGGTGATATTTTTCGCAACAAATACTGTGTACTTCGGCAAAATCATTATTATTATAAATTGATGATCAATTTCATTGTGGGAATTTATTGTTCCCGTTTCAGCACGAGATTGTGTTTCAAGACCGACGTATAAGTGGCGTGTAGTAGTAGTAAGCAGAAATCATATATAAATTCAAAGCTAAAATTAAATAAACTAATTAATGAAGATTACATCGACTAACTTAATTAAACTGCTGAATTAAACTTCATTATCGGATTAAACTAACTTAATATCCTCACTTTATTGCAAATAATTATATAATAGATTGAACTTTAATTAATAATTCACGTTTGACTTTGTTTCACGGCAGCTCGATTAATGTGTCTTGTCAAATGTCGGGATTCGGAGTTTTACACGAGTTCGTGTCAAGTTCGAGTTACGTAACGAGAAATGTTTGAGATAAACGGAGCTCTCGATAATTGATGAGTTTCTACAAAATGATGCATACAGTTTCGAAGTTAATTAATTTAATTAATTTAATTTAACAAAAAGTTATTCGGCGAGTTCCTGCGTCAACTCCTTGCGCGGTGCATCTCCCGCAATAATTTAATCAAGTCTTTTCTCCGCGTCTATTTCAAAAGTCAAGGTTGCGAGTAAAGGATCAATATATCGAAATGTATCTCTCGATACAGAAGGTGGAACGAGAGTATTTTAAATAGCGACCTAAAAAGTACTGTTTTTCCTACATCTTGTTGCATCCTCGATGCTCGTTCCGAGATGACTGTCATCGAGACTTCCATCGTCGCGGATCTTCTATTGACGCTTTTATTGACATTTTGTCACGTTTATTAACATTTCACAGCTACGGTCTGCGATTTATACTTGCAGAATGTACAGTTTTAATGTGGTTTTATTCGCGACATAAATTTTCAAGATAAGATCCGGAAAAAAGGACACCGAGAGCATAAATAATCGAATTTAATTATTGCAATTAGAAAGCTCGTTTGACATTTATGCAGTCCATTTCGATCGTAAAGAGACTACACCGTTCGTCTCGCGTCGAAACCGTTACGTATTACGAATATGTAAATTTTCACAAAACTGTAAAATAGGTGAATTCAAGTCTGCGATAAAAGTTGGAGATCAGTTGGAATAAAATTAACGATACGCCCAATCTCCTTCCTCAGCCGTTAAAGACGTATCCATAAATCACGTTCGTCCCAAAAGACAACAAAAATTTTACCTAATCGAGAAAAAAATAAAAATAATCAGAGTGTAACTCTTTTGCTCGTATATTGCAAATACAAATATCAATTATTATTAAAGGCCATAATGACGAGCATTAGTGGATGTTAATTAAAAAGAAATACATATATACTTTATTCTTAAACTTGTGGTAAACGTTTCAGCTATACTAAGCCTTCTTCAGTAGAATTATCCGCTTTTTACATCAGTCGCGTACACGCCGCGCATTTTACATTTTTCGGCAGTGGATTGTCTGGCCAACTTTTTTGATATCGGCAATGTCCATGCTGTGAGGAACTATACCACCCGTGTTTTTCAGTACATTCTTCGTTGGATGGCGAGAACATGTTAGTCCCAAGGGGTTGGTCACTGAGGTAATCTTTGTACAAGGGCTAGGTAATTGAGCGACAATCCAAACGAGATCTTGGGTAATCCAATATATCTGGGGTAATTTTAAATATTCTATAAGCCGAATCAGACTAGCAATTGCGGATTGGATTGGGATTGGCGATTATCCTCTAGCCAATGAGAGCAAAGCAGCCAGCGATGTAATCGACTCTCATTGGCTAGAGGACAGTCGTCAATCGCCAATCCCAATCCAATCCGCGTTTGCAATTGCTAGTCTGATTCGGCCTTAAGGTAATCTTGACGAAGTATTAGGTAATCTTGAGTAATCTCTGAGGTAATTTAAGGGTAATTTTTGTACACTATAACCGCTAGTGACCAACCCCTCGGTTGGTCCCAATCTATTAGCTCGTTGGATTTTTAAAAAACGTAGCAAAACATGTTCACTGCGGGTCTCTCGTAGGTTGGCTCTAGACTGTTACTAGACTGTTAAATAATATAATTAAAGTTTAAATATAATTCAATATCTAAATAAACTATAGTACGTCGCGTTAAATACGCGTGAAATTTAACCGAATGGCAATTTGACCGGAGATTATTAAAATAAAAAAAACTAAGAGATCCCGATTTCATTAAATTATCACTTTATGCAATTTAATCATCGCTCTGCAATTACCAAAAAAGTATCGCGAAACCTAGGCGGGGGTGGTTCGCGTTACACAGCTCGATTTGAAATGAAAAAAATCCAACGTTGTCCACACTCTAAAAAAAAATAGTGGCGTAAACTTTCACCACATTCACGTAGTTAAATAACTCGGTGTCAATTTTAACACGGATATTGTGGAAAATCTTTCACGCCGACAAACGCGGCGTCAACTTTTCACGCTATATTGTTTTGTTTTCACGACACGCGTGATGCGATCGCAATGTTAATTTCACGTCGATAAGGTGAGAATTATGTAGACACCTGGATGGGTGTTCATTTCACACCAATGGTGAGAATTCACATCCATATTTCTTACGAGTGCACGTGTACTCTTCCTCTCGAGGATTTCGGTCACTCGAGCGGCCGCGAGTGCGCGCGCGCGCGCGCGCGACACGTCGCGAGAGGAAACGAAACGGTACCTGCGTTTGGTCCGCGCTGCTCCTGACATTATCCACGGCGGCGCCGTCGACGGCGATGACGCTCACGGGTCTCGGGTCGGACGGGGCCTCGGCCATCGTACGATCCTGAGCGCATCGGGTCTCCGCGGTCGGCCGCGAGCGGTGAAGCACCTCCTCTCCGTCTCGCGATGCACAATATTTCCCCGCGTCTGAATCCTCCTCTCCTCGCTCACTTCCGCACTGCGCCCTGTTCGCCCTCGCCCCCTCCGAGCACGCCTGATCCTTTATTCACGTTGATCTCGCGACGTTCCACGTGAAACGGTACTCTTTTCTTTTTCACTCGCGCGATTTTACCCCCCTGTTTTCCCTCCCGCGAGTCACCGACGGCCCGCTGGCGACTCGCTTTAACGCCTCGAAGGTGAAACGTCGAGGACGATCCTACCCTCCTTTGTCTGTCCCCTCCTCCCTCTCACCGATCGGCGCAAGGTGCACAATGGACTTGAGTGTAACATCAAGTACGACGATTCCGAGAAACGAGAATACGAGAACACAATGGTAACACGCTCAACCGCCGTTATCGTCTATCGAACTGGTCGCCATACGGCAAACCGGTCCCCGTCACGAAACTAGATCCTTTCTCCGCGCCGAATATCACCGCGCGTGTTAACGCACTCTTAACACAGCCTCCGGTTCCACCAGTGTTCCGCTAGCCCGCATGGGAGCGGCGTCGCGCGCCAGGATAACGCGTTGGCTCTTCTTGCCATTGCGCCTTGCCTCGCCGGCTGAATCCTCTCTCTCGACGACGCGACCGCGCGTTCCTCCTTGGCCGGCAGCCGTCCGATCCGCGGCGATCTAAAAATGTAAAACTCGCTGCATTTTTTTACCCCCCCGTCGTTTCGCGCGACGCGCTCTTCGAGATCACGCTGGTCTCGCCGCGTGAGTAAACTGCGTTTGTCCCAGGCCACATGGGGTCCGCTTAGGTCCGGTTTTCGTCGCTTAACTTTAATCTCGCAACCCAAGTACGTTTCTTCAGATATTGCCCGGTATCGATAATAAAATTTCAAATTTCACTCGACCTCAGCTGGCCACATTTGTTAAATTAGCTTTCACAACGTCTCGACCGTTCGGTCGAGGTCCTTATCAAGCGGGATCTTGTTACGGAGTCATGTTAAATACAAGTAAAACCGCCATCTTACAAAGCGGAATAGAGTACTGTGTCAGGGACAACCAACGATAAGAGCAAATTTTCACTAACGTCCGGAGTCGAGGGATGCAAGACCAAGAGTTAAATTCTTCGTCTCTTTCTAAAGTAACAGTTGGAAAGAGACAAAGAACGAATTAAGCCAAGCTTAAAATTAAGCGACGTTAGTGAAACCGGACCTCAGAGCCAATTTCGCGTCAGTTAGGGCCAGTTTCACAAACGTTTAACCGCTAACCCATGGTTAATTGATCCTCTGTCTCTTCTTGGATAACAAGATAGAGAAAGATAGGAAGTCGACTGAACGCTGGTTAACAGTTAACCGACGTTTGTGAAACTGGACCTTAACTGTTAACCAGAGTTTAGTCAACTCCCTATCTTTTTCTACCTTGTTATCTAAGGGCCAGTTTCACAAACGTCGGTTAATTGTTAACCAGAGTTCAGTCAACTTCCTATCTTTTTCTATTTTGTTATCTAAGAAGAGACAGAGAATCAATTAACCTTCGGTTAGCAGTTGACCGACGTTTGCGAAACTGACCCTAGGTTCGGTTTCACCAAACGTCGCTTAACTGTAATCTTTAGTTAAATTCTTTGTCTCTTTCTAAAGTAACAGTTGGAAGGAGACAAAGAACGAATTAAGCCAAGCCTAAAGTTAAACGACGTTGGTGAAACCAGACCTTAGTCATTTCCACTTCACGACACGTTTGACTTAGCTCTGCTTTTTACTTTTCTTCGTTATTTCGTTTCGCAGCTCAACACAGAGCAAGACGTTCCCTTTACGTTTAGAAATTATTTAATTATTTATTTCATCATTTTGTGCCGCGGTTCTTAACTCTTTTGCGTATTTAATTAATTTAATAACGACGAAGATTTAGTATAAATCGAAACGTTCCATTTGTTTTTAAAGGATAAATTATTTCATTATTCACTTTAACATCCGCATTCGCTCGTTTATCGACCCTCAGTCGTTCCATATTGCTTGAGACATACGAGCCCGACTCTCCTTTATTTTATGGACAATTTACCAGCTGATTCGCTTGAGAATACACGTGGGGGAAAGTGAATCCGAGCGCTCGTTTAAGGGCTTAAGGCAACGGGTCTACCGCATTCGGTAATAGGTGTACAAATTTTAGGCAATAAACGGCATTAACAAGGCAATAGCTTAGGCAATATTGCAAAATGTGTTTCGCTTAACGAAAAAAAAAACGTAATAATTCTGAACCAAGATTAAGGCTTTTATACATGTATATTTTTATATTTGTTAATGTGTTATGTAACACCCTTTATATTTCTTTGATCTTAGTTTCACTGACTATGACCCGAAAATGGGTCGAAACGTTTGAAGATTGATTAATAAATGTACATAGACAAAATGTAGGAAGTTGAAGACAATAACCGCAGAAATGTATTGCCTTTTCCGACAATAGGTGTACACTTTTTTGAGGTGCGATCAACCCCTTGGCTCAGGGTCATTTGAACCCATTGCAGAATCTATTAACTTCTACTCGAGGAGTAAACCGCTGACCAAAATCATGCACAGCAATGACCACTAATGCCCAGCGGGCATTACTTTATCTTATTTATCTTCTGGCTGAGGTAAATTTTTCTTAATATGCAATTTACTTTCGCTATAATTATCTGCGCTACATTTAAAAAAAATTCAGTGTTAAGTTATGTACGTTTGCAGATAACTTGAAAAGGGTCCAAATCCGGGACCGAAACGTCGTTTGTTTTTTAAATGAAAACATTGGCCAGTGTAGGTCGTTTTTGAAAAACTACATATCATTGGAGCCACCTTAAGTTTCTCCAATATTTTGTAGATATTTTCTTGAAAAAGGACCACAATCCGGGTGACCGAAACGTCGGAATAAATTGACGAATTAAACCACCTTAGCCAGTTTAACGTCGTCAAACAATTTCTCTTCCCGTTTTTAATCAATTACTGGCGACAATAATATTCTTCTTCTTATTTATCTTGTTTTATCTTTAATCTTGTTTTATCTGTACATCACAATGCCCTCGGCGGCTACCCCTCGCTTCTAATTAAAAACGAAATGACTTCAACGTGGAAACGCGCCACATACGGCTGGATCTTTGCGCCTAATAATATTTCTGCGTGAATTTATATCAGGGATCCCGGACACGTGGGTGTCGATTTGCGTCCGAACAACTTCAGCGTCAAGTCAGTCTCGTGCGTCTGACGGTCAGTCGTTCTCAAATTATCACTTATCGGTTTATGCTGCACTTATAGAAAGATTTCGACGTGAGAAAGATCGTCTGTTGTTTCATTCTCCACCATATTACACAACACTATTGTGCCTTCCTCCTCAAATTCCTGTGTCAAACGTAAACAATGGCAACATGCGGAACCTATGTATAGAGTTATTAACCTCTCGTTTCTTTATTGTTTCATTTAATCTCGTAAAATCTCGTAAAAACGTAAAATATAAAAGGGCACATTTCGTAAGTGTCTAATAATAAATTTGTCGTAATTGAAAAACAAAAGAATTCGCTCTATTCTTTTCAACTTGGCACATTATCAAACGACCATACAATGTACAATTGCCCCGTAATATCCAATTTGAAAGATTTGAAAGCAAAAAGTATGTCGTTGTGACATCAGGAGTGAATTTTTTTACATGAAAAATTTGCAATATTAAATCTGCAATGTAAAAAAATGTGAAAGCTACATTTCGTAAGTGACTAATGATAAATTCATCGTAATTGAAACACAAAAGAATTCGCTCTATTCTTTTCAACTTGGCACATTATTAAACGACAATACAATGTACGGTTGCTCCGCGATATCCAGTTCGAGAGATTTGAGAGCAAAAATGATAACATTTAAAAGATCAAAGCAGCCAATTGAATTATAAACTGCGATCGCACGACAAACATGTCAGTAATTGTAAGCTCTTCCACCGAGTTTCTCGGATCCGAGAAAAGAGAAAAGGAAATATCTCCTTTATGAAAACACGCGTCTCAGATTTCGTGTTTAGCGACGCATTTTAAAGAGAAGCAAATCGGTTCCGGGCAGTTTCTCTCCGACGCGCGTCTCTTTGTCAGAACTACTTTCTACTCAAAATTATTCTCCCCCTACTCGCAGGACTCCTACGATCCTCGACAATCGTCCTCGACGAAGCCACTGCGAGCGGCTTTCATTGTTCCAACAATCGATTATCGATTCAACTATGCAGATTCGAACAAAACCCCCCCCCCCCCCGTTTCAAAACCGACGAATAATTGGCGCGCAATTCGCCGAGTTGGAAAAGATACACAGAATTCACGCAGAAATATTATTTAGCGTCCGCAAAGTTTCTTTCTGCCAATAAGTTCCGGGCGATAACCTGTACTTTGTTTAAAAACGACATCCTTTATTACTCTCGGCCCTCGACTCTTACCATTTGTCTTTACGAGTCGTAACGAGCGAGACTCGAGCCTAATCTACAATGCTTCCTGCATCTAGAAATATTGTTTTATACAAGTGAAAACGTTTCGAAAATTTGTCGACAATTCGTACGATTATACGATGTGTAATGTACAATTTGTCAACTTGCACAAACTTTTTAAACGTATTTATCGGTTGCAAAATAGAATGTTTCTAGACGCAAGAGGCACATTGTAGATTAGGCGTTAAGCCAAACTAACTAAAAGAAATATTCTACTTTGTGTAAACAAATCAAAACGCTTAAAAAATTGATCGACAGTGTACGATTATGCAATGCGCAATTTATCAACTCGCACAAATTTTTCAAACGTATTTCTCGACCACAAAACAATGTTTCCAGATGCAAAGAGCACGTTGTAAATTAGGCTTGAAGCCTAATTTTCTCTCTGGATCTGGAGACATTCCATTATGTATAAACAAAGCAAAACGCTTAAAAAAATTGATCGACAGTGTACGATTATGCAATGCGCAATTTATCAACTTGCACAAATTTTTCAAACGTATTTCTCGACCACAAAACAGAATGTTTCCAAATGCAAAGAGCACGCTGTAAATTACGCTTGAAGCCTAAGCTACAACGTTCTCTCTGCATCTGGAAACATTCCATTTTGTATAAACAAAGCAAAACGCTTAAAAAATTGATCGACAGTGTACGATTATGTAATGTACAATTTATCAACTTGCACAAATTTTTTAAACGTATTTCTCAACCACAAAACAGAATGTTGCAGAGAGCACGTTGTGGATTAGGCTTTATTGTTGCTATTATTATTATTATTATCATCGGGCAACAGAGACTCAGCCCGAGAACGGCATCTTCTCTATTTAATTGTTTTATCGCTTTCCCGTATGGGTTCACTGTCTCTCGACGATCGTCTACAACCTTGCGTGTATCTCGAATAAAGCGTCGATCGCGGATTTAAAGAAAAACAAGCACGATGCGCGAGAGAGCGTCGCTCTACCCGCCGTGTATCGGACGCGCGACGAGACATTTTCCAAAAAAAAAAAACCTCTCTCTTTCTCTCTCTCTCTTTCCCTCCGCGCCGTTCCGAGAGGCGCCTTCTCTCAGAGCACTTCTAGCATGGCGAGAATATATGCGCGAGCTGCCGTCGAGAGACTGGCGAGAGACACGACCGCGAACCGCGTTCGGATCAGCGACGAGTGTCCCGAGAGCGGAGCGAGCCAAATCGGCCGCGGATGAAGGCGCTCCCGCGTACGCACGTACTATACGTTCCGCGACAACAAACGGTAAATCAGGCCTTCGAGAGAGAGAGAGAGAGAAAGAGAGAGACAGAAACAGAGAAAGAGAGAGAGAGCCTTTTAACCTGATTGGGGTCGCGGCAGATTTCCCAACGGAAACGTCTGCGTTCGGGAAAAAAGGGAGAGAGAGAGAGAGAGAAAGAGAGAGGGAGAGAAAAGGATCACTCGCGGGAGACTCTCTCGCGCTGCACTCGAGACTCACTCAGAGACGGGCACCGCGATCTCCTTTGTGCGCGCCCGATCGATCTGCACGGGAGCGTCCAAGTCGCGCGTTATCTGTCAGCGGAACGAACGCGAGCGCGGGCCACGAAAGCGAGACACTCTCCGCGCCGGCGGATAGCGGCTCTACTGACTGGCGACTCTCCGACTGACTCCCGTTGCTGGCGCGAGACGCGTAGCGTAGCGCGACGCGCGTATGTGTGTGTGTGTGTGGGTGTGTGTGTGTGCGCGCGCGTGTGTGTCGCGCGCGCGGGGCGCACCTACACACGCGAGCGCGCGCCAATCGCGTCGCGTCCCGCGGCGCGACGAGGACGGCCCGCGGTGCCCGGCGTGCGCGCGAGAGGGACGGAAAAGCGAACGCGCGCAATGGTGCCGAGAGAGAGATGTTAACGCCAGAAATGCCGCGGAGAAGCGGCCGTTTGCGATTTCTTTCGAAAATGTCACTCGAATTTATGGCGGCGCGCTTCCCCCGAGATCCACTCGCCGCGAACAGACGAGATTCGCTTCTCTCCTTCGTATACAGGGTGTTTAGAAAGCTCCAGGCCGGCGAGATAAAGAGAAAATGAGGCATTTTGGGGAAGGGATGTTTAATACAAACGTTGTCACCGAGCGCATATCCAGTACGGGAAATCTGTAACTTAATATCGTTAACTAGCGACAGCCAATGGCGAAGACGATCTTCGAAAAAGACGCAGACTTTCATTGGTTGTTCCTAGTTGACGTTGTCGACAAAACCTCGATAGCAAGTTACAGAATTCCCGTACAGGACGGGAATTCTGTAACTTGTAATCGATGCTTTTCGGTATCGTTAACTAGCGACAGCCAATGGCGAGGACGATCTTCGAAAAAGACGCAGATTTTCATTGGTTGTTCCTATAGGAAACTTATATGAAAATCTGCGTCTTTTTCGAAGATCGTCCTCGCCATTGGCTGTCGCTAGTTAACGATACCGAAAAGCATCGATTACAAGTTACAGAATTCCCATACTAGGTTGTTAATTACCGAAATGAGTCTTCAAAATCGGGGAGAGATCATCTTGAGGGTTTCCTTTTTTTTTTTTAACGAAAACCGCTGCGTTTTGTTACATGTTCTCATAGAGCCGTTGCCAAGATCTTTACGAAACACCGCTTACAAAACTGCTTGCACTGAGAACTTTCCGAGTATACTTACTGAATACATAAGCACATTTACTACGGATCTAAATATATTATATACGTATATTTAAGTTTGTGGAAATATGCACGGAGGAAGATTGCCGTTGAATTAAGAAAAAAATGAGGTTGCTCGAATCAAACGTTAACGACGCGGGCTGCGCCGCAAACATAAAGCTATTCGTTCAATTGTATTTGCTATGGATTTTAGTTCTAAGCACTGTACTAATTATCCAGATTATTAAGGCGACTATCCGATGTTTTCCATTCATTAATACTGATGTGGTTTCAACGATTTCATTTCGATTACGCTGATCTTGCTGACTCAGCATTTTTTTCCCGTGTGCTAGGTATATACCTAGGCCCGTATTCCGAGTCCTATTTCGTCGATAAAAGGGCCGATAAAAGATCTTTTCAATCAATAAGGCCCGTATCCTGCACTGAGAAAATTTTTCGTCGGTTAAACCAATTAAATAGTGTTTCCGATGGTGAATTTTCCCGATGAAATTTGATCGAAAAAGCGATTATAGTTCTCACCGGATGTACAATTTAATCGGACATAATAACAAACGGATATATCCGATGAAAAGTATGATCGGTTTGTCAATCAAACTTCATCGGATGTATCCATAATTTAATCGGAAAAATTAACCATCGGAAACACTGTATTTAAGGGGATCCTAAAGTCATATGTTTTATCGACACGTTCGAATATAGCTTTTGCGCTGGAAAATGTTTTTATTAGCTTTTATGCACAAAATAATGCCAGGATAAGTCGCGGACCGCATAGCAGAACATTTCCATACTTAAAACAGTCAGGTCAGAAATCTAATGAAAAAGATATTTGAAATTTGCGATTTTTTAATCGTGAGCAATTTAAAATTGGAGCTTTATAAAATTTAAAAATGGAGCTTTATAAAATTACGAAATTCTACACGATTATAGCACCACTGCGACACCGCGAGGAAGAGAAAGGGGGCGATCGTGCGAAGGAGAGGGGACGAACGGTGAATACAAAGAACGACGGAACGAAAGACGGAATGGGAGGCGCGTTTTTAACTAACGAACGGACCCACGTCCACAAATCCCTCCGGATTCGTCTCTTCGAACGCCTTTGTGATCGGCATTCCCCGTATCAGGGACACGGAGCACCGCCGATTGTCTCCTTTCTCGCGATCGAAGCGCGGCGAGATTTAAGCGCGATTAGAGACTCGATCGTGTGTCTTCTCTTCGAGCGTGACCTCGTGAAAATTTTCATTGACGAATGTTGAATTCGTTGATGAAACTGTTCGCTTTTCACGAGTCTACGCTGGAGATAAAGATTCATGATCGAGCCCTAGGTCGACCTGACGATGTTGTCTCCTTTACTTTCGCTTCAAGTTTTACGTAAAAATAATGTTTATCCGTATTTTTCAAAAGTTATTATTACTCGAGAGCTTCTTAATTACATGCGAAATATTAAAGTGTATTATTCCAGTATTATATCGTCGATTATATTATATATTCAAGAAATAATTACATTTAAACATCTTTATCGCGACAACTCCATTTCAAACTGATCGAAAACTATAAAAGAAAAGTTAATAATTTTGTTGTATGTATACACGCTTTTTAAAAATTAGATCTATCCTAGTTCTTTTTGCTTTCACGTTTGTCTGATCTCTCTCTGGGGGAAATAATTCGTATAGCAATCGAGAAATGAGGAATAAGTGTGTCCATTGGCTTTATTTAAAGATCAATCACCTTTTTCTTTAATCGATAAACCAAATGATATATTTAATGCGCATTTATATATATGTATAAACCAACATGGAAGGAAGGGAGGTTGTACAATGCAGTTAGGCGGGCATTTGGCTCGCTGTAAGCGAGATTATAGCGAGACTGTAGCACGCAACACATACGTTTGTACAAAAATTATAACTAATTAATATACTGTGTATGTGTGTATGTGTGTTTCTGTGTGTCTGTCTATACACCATGTAGAAGTGTGCTCAAGTAACTGCCAATTAACCGTCTAGCCTACCTGGACCAGAATTCTGAATTCACATTACCTAGTATTTGAAATTGAGAAGCTGATTAAAAGACGAAACAAGTATTCCTCCTTCATTTCTGTCACATACTACGCGAAGAACCTCGGGTCTACGCGAAACGAATTTCTTTAGAGATGAAAATCACTTTAATCCATGGAAGAACTGCCTTTTATCAACTTACCGCGCGAGTGCCTCAACTTGTCGCAATCTTTCGCGTTAATGCAAGTGTGTGAAATAATTTTCACCTGTCTAATGTTTTCCTATCCCTTCCTCTGCGTATGTTTCTTCATGTGCAACAGAATTTATTCATGTATAGCCAGGAAAAAATTCTCCATACATGACTATAATGAAATGTTTTCATATACGTTTTCTCTCTCTTGTAAAATCTCTGTTCATATATACACATAACAGAAATAATAAAACTAATTGAAAAATAACTTCTACGTTGTTTTATTTAAAAAAAGTAAGACTGCGATTACAGATTATACAATATTTTATATATAACCATATTTCATAGACGATTACATTTACGATTATATATGGGCAATTTTTGCATATTTCCACAGACTTCACTTCTTCTGCGAAATATGCGAAATTGTCTTAATTATTTTTAAATTCTTATTTCTCTTGCACGTACGAACAGAGATTATCCAGAGAAAGTAAATATATATCGACATATTTTATATTTATATGTGATAATACACACAATCATATTTATCACATACGATTATATTTTATAATTATATATGAAAAAATGTTCTCCAGGCATCATAAGGATGTAATTTATACCTAGTAAGAAACGTTATATAAACTATATTATACACAGTCTTATAGTTGGAACGCAATTAATTAAAAATAAATTCATGTAATAAATTATATCTAATTGTTATAATATTTGATAATATGTCGTTGTTTGATATTCTGTTAGAAATTCTCTTATAACATACATAATACTTGAAACAAATATATCAATTGTGGGACATTAAAATGGCGGAAACATTGTTATATGAACGCTGAGATGGCTAATAAAAGAGTAGAAAATATTTATTATCATGTAAATCGATGTTGCTCCCCAAATAGCAGGCATAACAAAGACAATGTACTGACGTTTATTTTCATTTACATTACGTCACTATACAGTCTTTTGACATTACTCTGCTACTTGTACTGTTAACATTAGTATAAAAAATCGAGTAAAATAACATAATGTGCTCCCGTTTCTGAAACATGATTTACGCATCTTTTAACACGGCCAATTGCTATTACGATATGCACTAATTCTTTTATTACAGGTTTATAACGTAAATTTTAAACAACTCAAATCTTTATCAATATAAATTGTAAGATAAAATTAATAGATATGATTTAATCGTATAATTGCGCATTGTTATATATTAAAGTATTGCAATTTGATATCTATGTGGTTATATAAATATCACATTGCAATATAAATTTACAATCTGCTGTAATAAATAATTTATTCACGCCAATGTCGATTAATGTTTAGTGCGATTTCCCTGTATAAACGGTAATTTATATATCTCTTTCTCTTTTTCTCGAAGACGATATATTGTGAAAAATATACCCTTATAGAGTCACCACTTGCTAATGGTGTATATACATACATATATGTATACACAGGATATTCTAAAAAAAAAATAAAACCTTTAATGATAGATTCTTTGACCAATGTAATCAATTAATTTTTCTCTAGGAACAATATCAAATTGCAAATTTATAATCAAAGCCATCAATACTTTTCAACTTGTAAGCAAAGACTTATTCCAGATTTACTCTGAAAAAGGCAAGTGAAAACAAACTACAGTCTTTACATACTTTCAAGTGGAACGTAATCTTAATTTATGGCTTAGCTATAAAAACGTATTAAGATAAAAAGTAGAAAGAGAAGAGTAAGTAATGACTTCTCATTCTTGTTAGAAAAAATTCTAAATTGGCCAAAGAATGCTATTAAAAGGATGGTTGGATATCCCGTATGTGTCTGTGTGCGTGTATGTGTGCATACATATATAATATATGTATGAGATATATGATATATATGTACACACACATATATATATATTCTATATAGAATTATAATACATCTACAGTAATTAACAAGACAAATCTCTAATTCTGCACTGGGCAGTCTTCATTTTTCATTAATTAATTCTAAGTATAATGATATACTTCGAAACTCTATATACGTTTTACCAGGTGTTCTTCCCTTATCTTTCGGAGCACGATTGGATTTGGTTATAAACAACAACTTCTCAGTAGAACTAAAAATATAATGTGTCACGCAAGAATGGTGTTATAATAATTATACATTTTATCATAAATCATGCGTTTTGCATTTTCAGTCATCAAGACTGGTACGTGGAGTGATCTTTCATTGCGAAAATGGGCATGTAAGTAACTTTTGCTGAAAATATTAATATAATATGTAACGTGTATTAATACATCTGTATAAGTATCCAAGTATCAAATTATCAATATATAAATCTGTTCGCACACACACAAAAAAAGACAGGTTTTCCAGCTTGAAGTATTAAGAGTGTTATGTAAAAGAGTCTTACTACGTTGTCACGAGGGACTCTTAGTTTAAATCTCTCCCATTTGCAGTCAGTCAGTTATTGCAAAGATAGATAAAAAACGTCGTCCATATAATATCTCACTTCTAAATACTATATGCCGTATATAGCACCTTATAAAAAGTTTCTTGCAAAATATTACATCCAGATCGCAGAACGTACCAGTAACACGCATTTTTTTTGGAAGACCATTTCGAGTGTCGGTCTCAAAAGTGTCCCCACAGCTACCACTTTGATTTAATACACATGTATACTTCCCAACTGCTTCGTCATATCCGGATGTGCCACACAGTAATGGTAAGTTATGTACGTTTCTATCTTGATTAGTACAGATAATAAATACAAAATGTTAATTGGCATACATTACTTATATTTCTGTACTAAACCATATTGCCTTGAAATTCTAAATACGATCTCGATAGCATCCCTCAGAGAACTCTCTGTTAAAAGAGAAAGCACTATCAGTGTTGCCTAAAAGAAATCATGCAGGATCCTATAAACTCATATCGGGATGCAGCCAAGGCTGTTGATTATTTTTCATTGTAACAATCTCCCTACGAATATGTCTCTAACATTCGGAGCTGCTTTATTTGGGCGATGGAACACATGATTATCTTTCTTTGCGCCTTGCTTTCGTACAAAGTCAACTATGAGTAGAAAATTTTCGATTTCTATCGTATTATCGATTTAACGAAGGACGGAAATGGAAAAGTATCAATTGGAATGTACATACGTTAACGGAAACCAGATTTTTAGAGAAGAGGGGTCGGATTTGAATTTACAAATGTGTTACAGATACAAAATGGCTTTATACAGAAGACACATGCGTTCTTTCCGAATTGTTTCCAACATGACCTGCACAAATCATAATTATACAAATATATCTGTATCCGTTAAAAAATTGTATTCCCTTTTTCCCTCCCCCTGCCACGTCAGTATTTCATGTTTCAATACTGGGTTGCCCTAATTCATTATATAGAATAGAGCGACACGTATTATATCATCACTCGTTTCTAATATTGTCAACTGTAAAAAGAAAAAAGAATAATAAGAAAGAATATAACTCTATAACTACTCCAAAAGGAAGTAGAAAAAGATCGTACCACTATAAATGCAATACCACAACTGCGTTCGGAAACCTGTTGAAATACTCAATATGTTTCCATGCAAATGTAAATAAATTTCCTCTCCTAATAAAGAAACAAACCAAAAAAAAAACTGATCGAAAGCAAAGCATAAATCACACAAGAATACACTTCGGATATGCGATCTACGCAATATGAAACGGAATATTTTCATCGGTTTAAAGCAACGTAATATGTCATTTGTCCGTTTTCTGGAATAGAAGATTCTGTTCTTCCTCGCAACGAAGATATAGATTTATATATCGGTAAATATTCCCGTCTTTAAGAATCTTAGAATTTGAGATACTCGAGTCTCAACGCGTTTCGTACCAGTTTATCCCGGTCGTGAATTGTAATTCACTCGTGTCTAATTATGTACGTTGCACTAAGTTTATTTATTTCATGTATCAAAGCCTGCATTCCTATGGCAACTTTAGTCGAATAGAAAAGTGCAAACGAAGGCAGTGACGATTATGAGTTCAGGCCTTGGCGTTTCTCTTCTTCGAGCATTGCGTCGAGCTCATCTGTAAGATTGGCAAGCATATTCCCAATGTCATTCAAAACATCCGCCGGTTCACCACCGTTGGAATGATGATTGACTAAGTGACCGCCGATGCTGTTAGGACCACCCGCCATATATTCTTGCGCTCGACTGGCCCTTTGTTTTATCGTGCCGGCATTCTCGTTGGCAAACGGCAATGAATCTGATTCCGTACTGGAACTTGACTGTAAACATAAAACAAATGTAATATATATTACACTGATTCAGTTTTATAATGTGCAACTCAAATGATTTGATTTAAAAAGAAATAGGTGCGTGTAACAATGCTTCTTAGTAAGAGTCTCGATAAAGAATTTTTCAGATAAAATCAATCGTTTACATAATGTCTGTATTAATAATATGCTTCGATCAAATGTATTATTTTGTAATATAATCATATAACATATTTTCCTTCCGTAAATCAGAAAAATCTAATTATAAAAAAGAAAGCCGCAACGTTAACTCTTCTCGCGTTAACATTTCTAATCACAGATTATTTCCTATAATAGGATACATTATATCCTATCGTAAAAAAACAAACGGATACATTAAAAACTCTTGAAACATACTTTAAAACTAGCGTCTGATCCGTTACGATGCTGTAGAGCGAGAGTTGCGATTAGCTCGTGCTCTTCGTTAATATTAACGCTGACACTACCCCACGAACGTGACATGGAAGAAGACGGTCGATTTAGTTGCGGCGGTGTGGAAGGTACCGGCGTAGGCGCCGGCGGCGGCGGCGGTGGATGATGAAGCAAATGATGATGCTGATGGTGTTGATGAATGTGATGATCGTCGCATGAAGCGGTTGGCACTGGCCCGCTACAGTCTATCACGACGTCACCGACCGCCGAACCACTGACGCCGATTACGGAAGAACTAGACGTGTCTCTAGAGCTTTGTCGTCTCGGAGGTGACGGAGGACATCGCTTTGGAAGATGGGGACTACTCTCGAGCCCGTATGTTAATTGATACTTGTTATCCAAGTCTCTCGGCAAGGACTTGTATTGTCCCGGCGTCGCAGTGACCTAAAATTACGTGTATCACAAACTGAAGCTGTGCCCGAAGCAAGTTACGTCGCTCGTTTTTGTCTCAATCGTACAACTGTACGTACCTTAGCTACGGGTCGCGGGCGAACGAGGCAATGTCTCGGCCGTGGGAGAGTGCCGCCGCCACCACCACCACCAGCATCTACAACGGAAGCATCATTCGTGGGTGTAAGATCGCCGTCCTCGAAACTGCGCGGACGCCACTCGAGGGGTTGTGGATGCGACATTGGTGCCGGAGACGGAGGATAGCCAAGAGGCGCGTCCTCTAGACTCTCCAAAGATTTTCCCCGAGAGCTTGTACGGCCCACTGTATTGTAGTCGGTTGGAAACGCGGCGTACATACTTTTCCAAGCAACACCAGAAGTGGTATCGCTGCCACCCCTCTGAAAAGATCTAAGTACAGGCGAGGAACAATCCTCATCGGGCGACGGTAAATCGGGTCCACCTCGTTGAATAACAACGTCCTGAAAATTACGCGATAATCTTTTATTCCGCAACATATTCACGACGACACGATATTGATCAAGATAATTGGGAGACTGCGTCTTCTCTTAATGAATTTGACACATTCGTGAAAATCATAGTGGGAATATAATTTACCTGCGTATGCCCAGGATGTGGTGGCAGGCGCGCAAGGTCGAGTGGCTGTATACGCTTGCCGGCGCGAATATCCTTAACTCTCTTAATTGCTAACAATAATTTTTTCTGATGCCCTAACCGTACGATACCGATGTCTTCAAGGTCCTCCCAAGTGAGAGTTGTCACGTCCTCGACGGATCGCATACCCTGTTGATGAAGCGCGCCAAGATATTCCTCGAGCCTGAGAAGCCTGAGCCATTCTTCCAGCGATCCGGGTACGTGTTCCGGCAATCCGTCTCCTATATTCAAATTGTCTATTTCCGCCTTCAGTCGTTTCCTATGATTAGGTTTCTTGATACCTGTAATATAACGTGTAAGATTATTTACTTGTTTAAATATCCCATACATCTACGAATATCTGTAATGTCCATCTCTACCAATGCAGTTTAACTTTTATCTCGGTCTAATTTACTTTCCATCTTTTTTTCAACTCTTAGAACTAGAAAAAGGTACAAAGAAAGTTGAAGCACAAATGAAACAAATGCATTTAACGCTTAAATAAGATTCGCTATGGCGATATGCACCTATTGCCGTGAGATCCTCCGGTGTCATACGTGTTATAGTAGCAAGATCGTAGCCTGCGGAAGCGAACAAGGGGAAGTATTCCTCAAATTGGAGCTCGGTTAACCAAGCGTGAACGACGTCGAGATCTGCCGGTCGGTCAGGATGACTCCCGAGGGAACTGATGGAGCATCTAGGAGATGAGGCAAGAGCACCGGGCCCTCTAGGTCCCAAGTGATATCCAGACGCTCTTCCAGAATCCAACGACGCTGTAGAATGCCTAGAACCGGAACCTGATCCGGAGCTCCCGGGACTGTCTCTGCCAGGACTCTGGGTCATATCGATACCTAAGAGATATCGAAACATTCACGTTTTACAACCTTAGTGGCGAAACACTTTCGATAGTGGCGTCTTGTCGCTTGAAAGCGACGTCCCTTGCGCTCTTCGCGTTAAGGAATTAGCCTAATAAATACGACGTCGTATAATTCGCACCTTGATCTTCGGCGTGGGCATACTTGCCGATCACCGGCGGAAAGGCGAAGCCCGAATGGGTAAAAATAGGTCCCGGACTCTTTCCAGATGGCATCCCGTAGGAACCATCGTCCGCTGTGCCCCCGGGGCCGCTTCCGGAGAGGAAGCAGCTATCCTCGCTGCTAGCATATCCAGCCGAGCCAAAAGAGGAACCGGAGTGTCGAAACACGTCTGGTACAGCTGGTGGTGCTACTTTCTTCGCCTGAGTCACGGCTTTGGACGGCCGGCTCATACCGCCAACTGTAACATGTAACAGAAGGAAGGTTTTAAGTCAATCAAATACCAACATCGTATACTATTCGTTTACCACGGACACCTTCAAATCAGATTATAGTTATAATGGTGGTCTCGTATTGTTTCCTCAAAATTCTGCGAGAGAGAAAGACGTGTGCGATCTTATTTTGCGCTGATGCCGAAATGTAAGTGTCGAAATTTAGCAAGTAGAAGCTCTAGCAACCAGGGTAAATCACCGAGCGAGACTCGAATTAAACGGGGAAAAAAATTTTAACGCTTGACAAGATTAAGAATATTGCATTAATGCAATCGATTCGCTGGTTCGATCAATAAGGTTGATCTTAAAGTTTTTATGGACATTGAATTCTGACGAGTAAACACAATTGAAAAAAAAATTGTAAAAAGTATTTCTGAGATTTTCCGCGTAACAAGGTGTCGTTTAAAAACCGACTAGATGCATGGTATCTTTTTGTAATAATTCGTCGATACGGAGGCATATCGAAATCGTCAAGTCGAAAAGGGTAGAAAATGTGAGCCCGAAAATCAAACATTTTATGTGCAATCGTTTAAAATTAACATGTTAAAGTTGTATTGAAGTTTAAACGGTTACAAATCAAATTCTCGAACCTTAGGTACTTCGTGCGAGGATAAAGTGTACTGATAATTCCGGTAAAATAAAAGCTAAAGGAAATAAAGACCTCCGATTTATAGAACGGTATCCATTCAGCTTTCGTTCTCAATGATACACACATTAGGATATTGAGCGCGCGTCAGTTTTCATCGCTTCTACGAACGTCGCACATGGCTCACAATGCACTTCCTATGTAAAAGCTCTGACAGCCAGAGCAAATCACCGAGCAACACTCGAATTAAACGGGGAAAAAATTTTTTAACGCTTGATAAAATGAAGAATAATGCATTGATGCTTCGATTCAACGGTTCAATCAATAAGGTTGATCTTACAGCTTCGCTTCGCACTTGTTTCTGCAGCTATCGAGTTTTCTCGCATACGGTCGTGGTCAGAAAGGTTGTTCGACGTTTTGCAATAAGTTTACGGAATATTCGTATGTACACAGTCGAAAAATTTGTGTTAAATTTAACAGATATCACATGTCCCAAACGGTGCACACAAATTTTTGTGTTAATTTAACATAATGTGGATATGTTAAATGGTCACACTAATACTCTGTTGATATTTTAAGACAAAATAAATGCAAATCTCGAAATAATTTGAAATAAATTTTCTGTAAAGTTCACACATTTTTAGTGACAAAATAAATTTTAACGTTTTACAGATGTAATAAGTTAAATGACGGTACGAAATCACTCTCACTTATGTTATGTAGAAAAAATCAACATTTTATTCTGTAAATTTTAACAGATAAATCCTTGTTGCCAATAATATAGAACATATGTATTGTGTAAGATAAAAAAATAAGTGCACATTGTGTTATTTTAACATTTCTTTTTTACATTTGAGGTCAATCAGCACAAGAGCAATATGTTAAATTAACACATGAATGTATTAAACATTTAACACACAAATTTTTTAACATTTTTTTAAACAAGAAAACACAAATTTTCCAACTGCGTATCATTGCATAGATATTCGTACACGTCATTCCTTTGCTCTAATAATGTGTCACTGCACATATCCGTGAGCGAAAGCTATAATCTCTCGCACGATGGGCCGCATCTCCGAAATTTATCGTACAACGTCGGACAACCTTTCTGACCACGACTGTACACCGACGGTTCTCGATAGTTTCGACCATTTTGATGCAGTTCAGCTATAGTTCCGGCCGTTAAATATTGTTAAACGATGTTAAAAATAAAATACAATAATTAACTTACTTCGCAACAACACACTTTTACTAAAAAAAAATAATAATGAAACTAATTTGTGGTACATCTCCAAATGTGTCCCGCTTGAAAGTATTTCAATATCGAATTGGCACAGCGGTGTGTTCAAGGATTTTCCAGTGAACGCCATGTAACAGTTACATAACATCAATATTATAATTGTCTACCCAACAACGTAATATGGCATGCGTGTTCTATTTAAAGGAAAGTCCCCTATTATGGGACAGGCACCTAATACGAGATAGCGAGGTTTCCGCAAAACTAATAAACACCACCGGTTGATTCCGCCATGAATCTTTTGCCCTTGGAGCAAAGTCTGTTAGCTCGTGTAATCGTGGTGAAAAAAAGATTTCCGATCGAGATTGGACGTTGAAAACTCGCTGTCTCATATTAGAATCACACAATAGAGGCCTTTCCTCTGCACTGTTGAGGGGGAAATTGTAATATCGACGTTATGTAAACTGTTGCCTGGTGTTCGCTGGGCTTGCTTTCCGCCGAAAATCAAATTTCTCGTTTGACTTGATGACCGAGCGGGTGAAAAATTCGTGTGTTGCGGTTCCGCCGCTGTCTCGCATAATACACGCAACGTCCGCGCACTTACGGTGCAAGAGATTTTTCCAACTGCCATAAATGGCTCTAATGCACTTGTTCAGGGGCGTACTGCTCAGCATCGCCGTGGTCTCGCGCGCGTACAGATTGCCCTCGGAGCAGCTTCTAAACAGGCCGTGATTGGCGCCGCCGGAGCTGCCCACCGGCATTTCGCGCGAGTACAGATTCGCCATTAGATTTTCCGGAATCCCATGCGACAGCCAGACCTCTACGGCGGGGTCGCGAAAGCTCTTGTACGTGGACGACAACTTTCTCGAGGACTTCTGCAGAAATCGTTTGCCAGGCGGCAAGGGCGGGGGCCCCAGGCAGTTCGTTACGGCGGTGATCGCCATTTGCGTATTGAAATTCGTCTCGAAATTCCGTTTCGCGAACGTGTGGTTCTTAATTTTTTTTTCTTTCAAAATTCCGACGCGCGCGATTGTCACGCGAATTGGATCGGAATTTAATCGCCACCTTTTATATATTTCTGTAGTTGCACCTAGCGATACCTGATAACTGAGTGAATATATCGATTCAATACATTCATACAATCGAAGAAAGTCATTTCACAAATGTTATCGAAGTACAGATCGTTTTCCAACGGTGTTAAGGAGATTGTAAGGTGAAATGTTGGAAGTTGCATAAAATTGAAAATCTAGAAATTGATTACAAATGTTCCAGAAGACTGGAGAAAAGTTGAAGACATTTGTATATTGGCATCGCTTATATAATAAAAGAGCCTGTGCTTCGAATTTTGTGCCACTCTCAACGTTTCCGACTACTTTTTACAGCTTAATATGGTAAGCCTGCACTTTCTTCGAAATATGGAACGTTCACAATTAAACATTCGTTCCGTGTAACGTTATAATCACTGTTCACGCTTTTTAAATCATTGTGCTGCTGGTTTTTGTTTCATAGAGTAATTGGGGAGAAAATTATCTAAATCCCACCGTTCTGATCTGCAGTTCGAATTTAATAATCTTAGCTCAATAAACAATAAAAATATATAATTTCCTGGCGTAACTCACAAATACACAATCGCGATTTATCTCCGCCACGAGACAGCAAAAGCCAAACCAAATGTAACAAACGTTTCTCGACACTTCACGCAACAAGTTGCTGTCGTTTTGCTTCAAAATCACCATAGGATATTTTTTATTGTGTTATGAAGCAATTCGTTTGGCTTAATCATTCCGACTTGTCCGATATTATTAGAACCACTGTGTGAATCGAGTCTCCACTCGATTTATTAACGGACTCGTGCAGAAGATTCAACGAAAATACTTATTTAGGCAACGCTTGGCAATTTAATCCCGCGCGTAAAACCGATTGTTCAAACGATACGGTAGAAACGCCAATTGGTTCGGTTCACTTTTTCGTTTCAAATTCACCATAGGACATTTTTCATTATGTTACGACGCAATTCGTTTGGTTTAATTACTCCGACTCGTCCGATTATTAGAACCACTGTGTGAATCGCGTCCTCCACTCGATTTATTAACGGACTCGTGCAGACGATTGAACGAAGGTACTTATTTAGGCAACACTTTGAAATTTAATCCCGCACATGAAACCGATTGTTCCAACGATATGGCAGAAACAGCAATTGGTCCGATCACTTTTCGGATGGGAAACGGCAGTCCCGTTCCGAGGGGCGCGAAAATCAGTTCGGCCTATAAAAGTTTGCGAGAACGCGCAAGCGTGTCCATCGAATTCGCACTCGTCAACGGTCTTGTAAAGGAAAAGCACCGCGACAGTTCCAAATACAACTGTTGGAAAGTGCGGCTTAGATAAGCGCAGGCGCACGTACGGATCGGTGAAACGGCACATTGATGGTGACAAACGCGAATGGAGATCGAAGGTGGGTGAACGGGTTCCGGGGCCCCGGCGTGGGCCGCGTGGGTTCTGCTAGGATACGAGTGGGTAGCGCGAGAAGCCGCGGCCCGTGAATCAACGCGAAAAATGGAAATATTGTAGGAACACATTGAATGAGGACAGTAGGAAGGACCGAGCTACCTGACGTGACGTGACGCGACGTGACGGGAAGGGGGAGAAAAAACCGAAGAGAGACCTCGTTGATCACTCGATAGAGTTTTGTGCAAGAACGACACCGCGGGTTCGCGAGCACGCTGCAAGTAGGGCGCCTTTTTCCCCCCCATTAACCGGAACAATTAATTTTTTTTCTGAAATACGCTCAGCAGCAGCAATGTTCCGAAAGCGAGAAAGCGTAATGCAAGAGTAAAATGTGCTTACTAACATATTTATGATGTATTTTATGTTTATTCTATTTCTCGTTAGTGAGAAACATATCCGATCAAGTATAATCGGGTAGTCCAATTAATAACAAACGGATATACACATAATTTAATCGGAACAATTAACCATCGGAAACGCTATTTAATTGCTAGAGATGTGACATTTGATGTTATTTTTTGGCGTTTCG